TGCTTTAGGGCGGGGCTACACGGTGATTGACAGGTCGCTACCAGAGACGTATACAGCGTCTCTTTACGTCCGCATTACAAATGTAGTCAAATCCTCCATATCATTGATCATTTGAAGAAAAGGTTAAATGTTTAGATTTGTGTGTGTGTGTGTGTGTGTGTGTGTGTGTGTGTGTGTGTGTGCAGGTCGAAGAAGTTCCAGTCCTTCATCGACAGCTGTCTGTTGAAGAGCCACAGCCAGCGGCCGAGCACCGAGCAGCTCCTCAAGCACCCGTTCATCAGGGACCTCCCCAACGAGCGGCAGGTCCGCATCCAGCTGAAGGACCACATAGACCGCACCAAGAAGAGGAGGGGGGAGAGGGGTGAGACTCACCTCACAGCTGCACGATGGGCCAGATGTTTCAGAACATGTGGATGTTGACCTGATGTGTGTGTGTGTGTGTGTTTCCTTCAGATGAGACTGAATACGAGTACAGCGGGAGTGAAGAGGAGGATGAAGAGAGGGACGCCGGAGAACCCAGGTACTACTGATACTACTGCCACTTCTACTGCTACTGCTGTTACAATTTATGATACTACTGCGACTTATACTTCTACAGCTGTAGTACTACTACTTCTGCTATTGCCATAGCTACTTCTACTTCAGCTAATGTTACCGCTATTGCTGTTAGAACTACTACCGCGAGTAGTGCTGTTGTACTAGTATTGATTGTACTACTGCTGCTGATACTACTAGTTGTACTTACCGTTTATCCTGAATATCAACTTCACTTAAAAGCTTTTAAATTAATTTTAAATTTAAAAATCCTCCACTTTGTTTCATATAATTTATGAGATAAAGATTCATGTTATTAATACAGTATTATTATTATTATTATTATTAAATGAAATCAATATTTTTTTATTCTAACTGTCCTCCAGCTCCATCATCAACATCCCCGGTGAGTCCACCCTGAGGCGGGACTTCCTGCGCCTCCAGCTGGCCAACAAGGAGCGGTCGGAGCTGATCCGGCGTCAGCAGCTGGAGCAGCAGCAGAACGAGGAGCACAAGCGGCAACTGCTGGCCGAGAGGCAGAAACGCATCGAGGAGCAGAAGGAGCAGAGGAGACGGCTGGAGGAGGTAACTCCTAGGAAGGTTCCTTAAGTGGCCCCCAAAATAAGAGCTGGTTGAAATTCCTTAAAATGCTAAGGAAAGGTGCTTCAGTGCTTCCTTTACTTATCTCCTTTAGCAAAGGGAACACTAGAGGTGCAACGCCCAGTCAGTAAACCATCATAAATTCAAAATGTTATCCTTTTACTTTGTTATAGTCATTTATTGTGGTTTTTTTTCATAAAAACACACAATTCAAATAAAAAATGAATTAAAAAACTATTTTTATTGATTAAAACAAATCTTGTCATTAGTTTTAATGATGTTTCATTAGTTAGTGTAAACAGCTCATAATTAATTAATTTATTCAAGTTTCTCACCAAAAACTACATTTTATGTGATCACATGTTAACACATCATGATAATGTTATAATTTACATTCTTACAATACTCTTTTATACTGAACAGAGCCTGAACGCATCTTGATGTAACCGAACAGAACCTTCGTTGAATTTCTTTGATAATTTCTTTTACAAAAATTGGAAAATCACTGGAATCTGCATATCCAACATGTTTCCAAGTGTCCACAACTGTTACCAATGTTGGAAAAGCTCAGAATTAAATTTTTTTTACAGAATCTGGTTACTTCAAACAGTTTATTCAGAAGCGAGATTTTAAATGAGACATGTAGAATAAAATGTTGTTAATTAAATATCACAATTTTTATCTTTGTTTTTGGCTGTTTTTTCTGATGTAAGCGTTCGTCACACATGATGTGTTCAAGGATCGTCGGAAAGATGAATATCAGACGATAGTGGTATTTTTTACAGCTTCTGTCTGTGATAAACGGTGTCGTTTTTTTTGCCGATTGTTTGAAGACAACATGCTTTTCAATCCCGCCGGCAAGTTTTTGGGGCTCAGAGGGTTAACGAAAGAAGCAGCTTCACATCACACTTAAAAAAAAACATCTCAGCTTTGATTATAAAACGACTCATCTTCCTCCTCACCTGTGATTGTTAGCACCACAGCTTATCCAAATGCCAGGGAAGCACACCTGATGTGCGCACACACACACACACACAGAGCAGAAGCGATGTTAATAATAATCTTCTTCACCTGCAGCAACAGCGTCGGGAGCGGGAGATGAGGAAGCAGCAGGAGCGAGAGCAGAGGAGGAGGTACGAGGAGATGGAGCAGCTCCGCCGAGAGGAGGAGAGGAGGCACGCAGAGAGGGAGCAGGTAGGAGAACACCTGAGTCCCACGTTACATCACAGGTGTCATCCACAGGGGGAGGAGAGGAGGCACGCAGAGAGGGAGCAGGTAGGAGAACACCTGAGCCCCACGTTACATCACAGGTGTCATGCACAGGGGGGGCGGGGCTTACTGACATCATCTTTTGCACTTCTTCACCTGAGCTATTCTTTCCTTTTGTGTAAAACAAACATATGAATATTTGTTATTTATTGAATATGTATTGACCCTAATGTGGCATTGATTAATTGATTCATCTATAAAAACATCTGGTCCACTGTGACATCAGTGGGTTAAAACCTCCCCGAATGATTACTGACATTAAGAAAATATTTTTTTGTATTATAATTTTTCTGAAATTTTATGTTTAAATGTGCAAATGGGGCATCATCTACTTCATTAGCCTGGTGGCACATGTTTTTTTAAAATGCATTTAAAGGTTGTGGTGCAGTTTAAATGCAACATTCCTAGAATTCTGAAGAGAGAAATGGAGAACGTGTAGAATCACCACACATCAAATTTAACAGTATATTAGAGGAGGCTTTGTGACTAATATTTAACATTTCCTGCAGTGCCACGCTGCCTTAATGCTCTTTCTTTATTCGGACAGTTCTGCCTCTTGCACAGCTGATTTTTTATCTTTACCATCGTCTCCCTGCTCTACTAATTAAGACCCCCCCCCCCACCCCCGTTGCTTCTCTCTCTTAATCCTTAAATCCCTACTTTCACGCCTCTTCAATAAATCTACTTTCATCCTCTTTTATTTCCTTTCCTCCTGTTTCCTGCCTTGCTGATGTCACTGGTTGCCTGGGCTCCAACTTGCTTCCTCGGCGCTCTCTGATTGGCTGCGCCTCACGTTGCCCCCCTCCCCCCCGGGTGCTGATTGGTTAGGAGTATATTCGTAGGCAGCTGGAAGACGAGCAGAGGCAGCTGGAGATCCTGCAGCAGCAGCTCCTGCAGGAGCAGGCCTTACTGCTGGTAACATCACACAAACACTTTCTGGAACCTGTTTGTTATTTACACACAAAAATCAAGAAGTCGATCTGTCAATACTGAGACGAGAAAGAATCACACACCAGCTCCAGGAAAAAGTTAACAAACATGAAATCAATAGACGCACACAGCGGTGGGCGTGTCAGTCGATAGCTGGCGGTCCTGAAATTAAATTAAACTTCATTGTTTCCGATGAAGTCGTCATTAAAACCGGACACCAGGGACAGTGTGCAGCATATAAATAGATTAGAAGAACAACAATGGTGATTATTTGTTAGTTGGTATGGTGACAAAACACGTCTGTGGTGCCAAAAAATGTTGGTGCAGCTCCGGAGAAGGTGGCTGGCTAGTTTGCTTGTTAGCTTGTCCTACTTGTAAGACCCAGCGCTGCAGCAGTTCTGCTCATTTTTTTGAAACCAATGTAGCATTAAAGCATGGTGGAATTAGCAAGCGAACTGGCTAGTTAGCTAGTTGTAACCAATGTAGCATTTAAGCATTGCGGCATTAGCAGGCTAGTGGTAACCAAATGTAGCATTAAATCATGGTGGAATTAGCAACAAGCTGGCTTATTAGCTAGCCGTAACCAATGTAGCATTAAAGCATAGAGGAATTTGCAAGCAACCTAGCTATTAAGCTAGCTGTAACCAATGTAGCATCAATGCATGGTGGAATTAGTAACATGCTGGCTTGTTAGCTAGCTGTAACCAATGTAGCATCAAAGCAGAGTGACATTAGAAAGCTAGCTGCTAGTTAGCTAGCTGTAACCAATGTAGCAGTAAAGCTTGGAGGAATTGGCAAGCTAGCTGGCTTTTCAAACTTTGATTCTTCTTTGTTGGATTTTAATATACATGCTCTTTGTTGTCAAGTCACCTTTTGTCTTTTTGTTCACTCAGTATCCCAAGCTAATGCTAACAATGCTCTAAATCTGCCCCACATGCGTCCAAGACTTATCCAAAGTGGGTTTAGTTTACATGGAAGTTCGTCCACTACAACGGTCGCAAGGGCAGCGGTACATGTTGGCCACCCGTCAACGTTTATTTGAATGGGAAAGTCCGTTCTATGGTGTGTCGTTTGTTCACACACACACACACACACACACACACCGGCTGCTGCAGACGTCCACACACAGCTCAGTTAAATGCCAGACCTCTCTGACGGGACGGTGTGAGAAACAAGCAAAGACAAGTTTGGAGTTTCTCAAGTTTAGAGAACTTGTGAAAACTTCTCACCCTCTAAAATAATAGATCAAATATTAGACCGATATGGGGTTGAACACCAGTCATAATCTTTATTTTAATGTCCATCAGTATGATGAAGCCTCCTGTCACAGGAGTTGTTTCAGTATGTTTCCCTCATGGCTTTATGAATTGATTATTATTTAGAGATAGTAAAGTTTCTGCACCACTGAGTCAGTGCACCGGGTCATCCTGCATGAAAGAGCTGCCAACACTAAAAGCATTTCATCAATCTGACTTTGACATTGTTTGCCGTCTAGTGGAAATCATGTTTCAACTGAACATGAATCACGGTGAATGCACTTTTGCATCAAATGTAAAGAATATTTCATATTCTTTAAATGGACATGTGAGCAAACTAATGTTCATCAGCTCGATTAAATATTCTTAATGAGTAGATTTAAGATGAAACCTCAACATTAAGACGTACGCCACTTTCCGTGAGTTCCTCCCTCCCGTTAACCTCTCCTTCGGTGTGTTTTTGACGGGCAGGAGTACAAGAGGAAGCAGATCGAGGAGCAGCGGCAGGCCGAGCGGCTGCAGAGGCAACTGCAGCAGGAGCGAGCGTACTTGGTGTCGCTGCAGCAGCAGCAGCAGCAGGAGCCGCCGCGGCCGCCGCTGGACAAGAAGCAGCTGTACCACTACAAAGACCAGGCGCCCGTCGCCAACGACAAGCCGGCCTGGGCCAAAGAGGTAAACAAAAATATTCTAGACTTCAGAAAACTTTTATAAAAGTTTATGGAGGAGAAACTGTTCTTGTTTAATATTAATAATAAATGAGACTGCATGCTGTCATCGGTTTAAATGAAATAACATTTATATTGTTGCTGAAACACTGATTTGATTTGTTCCATGTTTATTTTATTGTGGAGGAGGAGACGCACAAACACACACACAACTCTGTCAACATGTGAATGTTTGTTTCAGTCTCTGCCCTCCAGGTGTCACCTGTACTTCACCTGCAGAGGAGTCCATCTCATCCTTTAACCGCTGTCTGATGTTTTTGTTTTTAGGTGCAGCAACGTGACAATAATTAATGTGCTGTGAAATTCCTCTTCTATGTTTTATGTCACAGATGTGGAGTTTTATCTCTGAGGTCTTTATTTAGATGATTTATAAGACATAGCACATTTTTGTTAAAGAACTGGCTAAGTTAGTAACAACTAAAAAGTGGCTTATTTGTATGACCTGAAAGTATGGAGGACGAAATCTGACAAAATAATCGTAATAATAATGCAAAGGAAAGACGATGCATAGATCAATAAATAAATGCATACATACATGAATAAATACACTCATTTAATTATTAAAAAAATATCAACAAAATGTCGCATTCTATTATTTAATTAATGCCTATATTTATTTTTTATATTATTTTTGGTACATTTAATGACATATTCATTTATTTATCAAGGCATTTATTATTTTAGAGATGTTTTATTTTGACAGATTTCATCCTCCATACACAAAACACAATTAATGTAAAAAAGCAGATATTTAGTTAAGCACTATTATTTAAACTGAGAATCAGTCTGACTCGTTAGATTTCCAGTCAAAAACAGACTAAAGTGAATCATTACCTATGTTGATCAGCTGATCTGTAAACCTCCAATATGGCTGCCAGGGGAGGCGTGTTGCATCCCCCCCCCCCCACCTCCTGGTTCCCAGACCGTGTCCGCCTGCTCTCTTATAAACACTCACCTTGCTCTCCAGGTGATGCGTCGAGCTCAGAGCAACTCGCCTCGCATCCCTCCCAAGAAGTACCACTCCTTCAGTCAGCCGCGAGACATCAACCTCGGCAACCTCCTCTTGCTCCCCGGTTACAAACCTCGCCGCCGCCGCCCCCCTTCCTACCCGGCCCACAACAGTCCCTCTAGGAGTCAACAGCACATGCCTCATATCCGGGTCACCTGTGTGCCCGAGTCCTCTAAGCCGAGGATGCGGCGGCAGTATCCCGGGAGGAGCCCCGACTCCAGGGGCCGGAGCCCCGGCCGCCGGGTCAGTTGGAGGACGGACGGATTCTTTGACTTCCTCTCCTTCTCTGATCTGTTACGGGCTGACTTACTAACCCCGGCTGCTGGAGGGATTTCCTCCTTTAATCACATTTTTATTTCTCTAACCAGGTGGACTTGCATGAATTAACTTCCGCCGGTGGAAATGATAACGTGGACACCTCTTTTCTTTTCTTAATTCATTTAACACCCTTTCATCTCGCTGTTTCTCACAGGGGTCTTTTGATTAACTTCCTCTTTGATCGGTGCCGTCAGTGCTTCCAAAACTGAGACTAAAGCTTTGTTTTCGGGAGCTGCGAGCATGAAAGAACTCTCTGCGTTGCATTATTCTCCAAAACATACAAACAAAATTGACTTTGAGGAAACAAAAAGACGAGTGTAAACCATAGACTTTAGGTATAACCAGCAAAAAGCCATAAACCAACCTCCAATATGCCAAGAAGGGATTGTAATTGTCTGTAAACGTATATCTCGTATTCATGGACTACGTTATACAAGACCTGTAAAGAAAGAAGTCAAGTATTAAAAGCATTATAAAGAAATAAAGGTTAAATATCCTGTAAACTGTTTGATTTGGCTGCAAAATATTTTCTCAAATGAAGATTTTTAAGACCTCCTGCCGGCTTCACTACGGCGAGTATAAACTAAGTTTAACTCCCGCCTCTTGTCTTTATAGTCCTGAATAATGTTAGAGGTCTCTTATGTGAGGCTGCGCGGTAGCATTCATTGAGCTAAGTGCTAACGTCAGCGTGCGTTTTCTTGCCTTGATGGTGCTTTACAGCGTTTGTGTGCAGCTTTACGAGAATGTGTCAGAAAGTCATTAATGAGACGCACACAAAGCTAAATGTCCACAAGGTTCCTTTTAAGTGGACACCTTTATTTATTAGCTTGAGTGATGAAGCTTCGATGCCGACATTTGAACAAATTGGCAGTCAAATTTAGAAAATGTAATATTCTTAGGCAGCTGTTAAAAATAAATACATTTTCACAGATTATCTTTATTTTAGAAATCCTAAATAACCTCATTCTTCTTCCTCCTCTCTGTCAATCCTATGTCATGTTTCCTCCTCCGGTCGAGGACGTTTAATCTTCTCTGAATCGTCTCGATTCTACAGGTTACTGACACAGTGATTCCTCCTCATGCCTCAGTCTGCTGGTCTTATCACCATAACTATGATGCAACATGAGAAATAACGGTCATGTATTTGAGGAATATTTTCTTGGTCTTCTAAAGATTCAAACGCTCAGCTTGTTGCATGTTGTGGTGTGATGGGTTCATTTATCTAACAGGTGCTAACTTCAACAGCTCAAACTGGCATCTGCTTCATATTACAGGTTTTGTTGATGTTCTCTTACTGATATTATATTAATAAGTAGGTTTTCTTTAGTGTATAAAATGCCGCCAAATCCTGCACACTGTCCCTTTAAATTCGAGTCTTGTCTTTCCTTTCTCTTTCTTTTCTTTTTAATGTGTTTATTGCTTTTATTTAGCGTTACTGTAGAAATATGTCATATGCCACATCAATCAAACTTTATTTGCACCGCACCTTTCATACAGTTTAGTGCAGTGCAAAGTGCACCACAGATGAGTGTAGACCGTGAAAATAACCGAAAATACAATAAAGCAAGTCAGTTATTTAACAATTTGAGTAGTAAAACTAGTTTAATGCAATAAAACAGAATTATACTACTTAAATACAATACAATTTGAGAGAATTAAAATAACAATACAACTTAACAAATATTTTCAATTTAATCATGATTAAAATAAGTGAGAATAAAAAATTTTATAAAATTTAAAGAAATTCTACTTAAATATAATAAAATAAGTGAATTTAAACAGTTTTTAAATTCTTCTAACTTTAATACAATGAAATAAGTAAGAATTCAAATAACAATAAAATTGAATAATATGTTTCAATATAAAGTAGATAAGTGATAGTAAAAGTAAATAAAAATGTTTAAAAAAAGACACGGTTCAAATGGACCCGCTCCTCATGTAGATATGAAGGGCTCAATCTAAATGAACGGAAACACAACGATCTTTAATTTCAGGTGATTAAACAATATTTATGGACATTGTATAACATTTCTACTAATATTTCCCCATAAATCAAGGCCTAAAAAGCACTCACGTGAACACCCCTCCCCCACTGAACACACACACACACACACACACACACACACACACACACACACACACATATACATATATATATATATATATATGCACACACACACACATACATTTAGGGCAGATCCCCAGGCCGGCCCTCTAGTGGCGGCCGGTGGACGGATGTAGGGCAGCTGCAGCTATATCAGTCTGCGTCCCTCTGGACACCAGCACATGGAAACATACATATAATGTACAGACAGGTCTACCCTCGTCTCAGTCTCCCAGGATTCCCCTCCAAGCTTCAGAGGAACACAATGGATGTAGTTCACTCCAACAAATCTTTCATCTCATGCAGAATTAAAGAACGTTTACAACTGGAATTAAATCTTTCTTATACAGTTTGGAAATCCAACGTCAAGATAAACTGATGTCTTTCCACAGAAATCAAACCCATTCATGAAATACCAACAGCAGATCATAATATACAGAATCAAACCTTTTACATACACCTCACTGCATGCTGTGAGTGACTGGTCTCGTGTGTGTGTGTGTGTGTGTGTGTGTGTGTGTGTGTGTCAGGTGGAGGAGCATTATAAGATGAACAGACAGACTTCTCCTGCATTGCAGCACAAAGTCTCCAACCGGATCTCGGACCCGTCGTTGCCGCCCCGTTCCGAGTCCTTCAGCAGCGGGGGCATCCAGCAGGCCCGGACCCCGCCGATGCACCGCTCCGTCGAACCCCAGGTGTGTGTCCTACGTCCTTATGTGTGTGTTTGAGCGACTGTGTGTGTGTGTGTGTGTGTGTGTGTTAGCATGCGACACAAACTTACATCCCTACAGGAGTGCGATCACACTTGGAGTTTGGTTTCGTTGGTCCGTGTGAAAGTAGAAACAATGTCTTGAGGACTCAAGGAAAAACGATTGATGGGTCCCTTCAGGTTGGGACATCCACAGATGGATTGTGATGTAAACACCGTACGGGACTCATGTGGTGTAAGAGGGAGTTGATTCTGCTTCTTATTTGAATGGACGTAATCTTACAAAAGAGCCGTGGAGCGTTTGCTGTGGTGATTATTGGATTGTAGCTCTACTTCTTTGCAGATGATGCAGCTCTGTTTACTTCTCTGGACCTAAAAGTGAAGCAGCTGGGAGGAAAACCGTCACTGTAGTGGTTTATAGGGAGCTGATTCCGCTTCTGATTTTTAGGCCGTAATCGCAAGATGAATCGGGGAGTGTCTGCTGTGGAGATTTTATTATTGCAGTTCAACTTCTTTGCAGATGATGCAGCTCTGTTTGTTTAATCGGACCTGAAAATGAAGCTAAGCCTGTGGCAGTAGAGGGGCGGCTTCAGTTTGTGCACTTAGTGAGTTAAAGTGACTTGAGCATCTATAACGGAGTCGTTCATATACTGATAACAGTATCAGAAATGCCTTCGATACAGCCTAAAATGCTGGATTGTGAGCCGACACAGTAGTTTTCCTGCTGGAGAAACATAGACTGTATATAAGAAGTGGACATAGTCATGGAGACGTCAACCGTTGGTTTGTGGACTGATGTTTTGATGCCTCGAGTACCATCATGTTTTTTTGCAACCGGTGCAACAGGAAGTGATCCTATTTGGAATGTGAAGGAGTGACGTAGAGATGCCGTATACATCTCTGGTAGCGACCTGTCAATCACCGTGTAGCCCCGCCCTAAAGCA